GTTTCCAGCCTGGGGAGACACTCAGAGAACCAGATCGGAGGGCTTGACACAGCCCACTAAAGCAAGGGGAAATTCCTAGTTGTTTTTGTGCATACAAACACAGCAGGGACCAACCTGCATGGCAGTGAGGTGAAATGGGAGCTCAGCCAGGGATTTCAATAGCTGCAGGGTCTTGCTCATGGTTTAATGCATTTTTACAACAAGGGTGAACAGGACCCTTTCTGGGAATAGAAGCATCACCAGCAATTTCATCCCCCTGAATAATTTGTTTATAACTTGCCTGTGCTTTGATCCAGCAGCTGCTTCAAGGGCACCAGAAAAAAACCCTTCTCCCATCCCCTTTTCACCACCCAGCACACCCGTTGTGCTGTTATAGATTTATCTCAATAATCTCTGTAGGCACAGCAAGGACATCCTGATGGCTTCGGATGTCTCCCTGGTACAGCACTGACATCCACCCCAGGTGGGCAAACAAGCCCAGTCTTCCCCCTCCTTCACCAGCAAAGGGGGTTCCAGGCTCTCCCCATTTAATCCCATGGCATTTCCTGGTCTTGCCTCCCCTCTCGCCCTTTCTAGTCAGCGAAAATAAATACAAAATAAAAATAAAACCCCTGCACATTTATTTCATTTCCTCTATTTTTATTTAAAAAGAAGGTTTGCTAATAGCAATCAGTACCATGGCCCAGGCTCCTCAATACAACAGTTGGCTTTTGCAGTCTCTGCAGTTCCATCCCTGCTCTGTGCCGGGGACAAACCAGGGAATTATCCAGCTTTAACAACCACTCCTGAATCACTGGAACCTCCTTGGGATTGCAGATTACTTCCATCTTGCAGTTTTACACTCTGTCTCCTTCTGCCTCAGCTTAAGCTGAGATTCACAGCCAGGTTTAGCTTTATTGTGCAACTAAACTCAAGTAAAAATAATACCAAAAAAAAAAAAAAAAAAAAGTGCCAGGTTTTAAAAAAAACACAGAAATAATTTTCTGGTGCTGGAAAGAAACATCCCCTTGGTGGCAGATTAGCCCACATTTATCCACTATAATGTTGCTTATACCTTAATCTTAAGCATCTTCATCTGACACTAATTAGCAGGCTGGAGGCTCCTATGGGTACAGTAGCTTCTATGGCCCAAAACATGAAAGCGAGCTCTTCCTTTTACCACTTGAAGCACTGGAGTTTTTAAAGAGACAATGTCAAGTATTTCAGCCTCAAACTGCACACTTTTTAACTTAAAAAACACAGCAGTAGGAGGAGGCCCAAAGGTGATGATACCCAGCCATGGCAGCGTTGCAGAGCATGCCCAAGGTTTGCCTGTGCAGCGTTATTTACTCTCCCACAAATTAAACCCAAACAGCCCTTGCTGAACCCCGGACTCACCTCCATTCTGGCACTGACTGCTAATTAGGAGACAAACAGAATAGGCTACAGAAGCAGAAAATTACACAGGCTCATCAGATCCACCTAGTTGCTTCCCTCAAAACCCCCAAAAATCAGAGAAAAGCAAATGTGGTTATAAAAATCCTTTATATTTTGGGTTCTCTCTGAAAAAAAAAAAA